GGAGTTGGAAGAATCTGATATGATATCATAATGTATGATGTCACAATGTTAGACTTTCCCTGCCAGCAGCATCCAGTGATGTGCAGAACAATGGCGCCCTAACTCAATATCAGACTGTTTTTCAACTGTATGGTACCAGGGAGATGTAGAAAGAGATCATGGCTGGCATGTTCTTTGGGCTTCAGATACATTCAGCTACCTACTACTAAAGTCATTCTCTAAATTCTGGAAATTCTCTTTCCCCTGCAAATATGAGCAAAAACCTGTGCCTTTGGATTATAAAATCACTTTTTGTTACCACTAACTGTGTTTATGGGCAAAAGGCACTGGAGTATGTAATATCTCTGTTTCTGAGATCAAAGTACATGCGGAGGAGACCGACGGTTTCCTTAAAAGTAGTCCTGATGTGCCACAAACGTTCGCTATTTGACGTCTTCATCTATTTTCACACAGCCCTTCCTTTCGAAAGAAGGGAAATCTCATGAAATTTAGCATGTTTCTGATCCTATGATCATGCATGCAAAGTCACTATCAAACCCACAAAGGGTTGGTTATAGAAGAATTGCATCCTTCATTTTCTATGAAAAGAAGCCTGTTGTTCAAAATTAGAATTTTGTCCCCAGCGTGAAATTTCTCATATGTTTGTGCTTAGGGAGCAAGAGGTGACGACGGACTACCAGGTCTAAAGGGTTTAAAGGTGAGCATTTATTTAACCCCTTTCATAAGCAGACTTCACCTGAAATGAAGGCAGATGTTTGGGAAGGCCTCCTTGAAAGGCCTGTTCTTTAGGACTTTGAACGACGCCAAGGTAAGACTGCATCTCATGTTACAATGTCAGACTTGCAGGTCTGCCCTTGCATGTAAAAACACTTTATATCGCTATGTGACAATAACACCTAGATGCCAGCCCTCTTCAGAAGCTGCATTCATACAAACTGAGAATCATGTTACTTCTGTTTTGGAAGCCTCCTAAGACATATGTATCCGATAGGACTGGTGGGCTCTATACCGTCTTAGTCTCTATATCTGATTCTCTGGGAATGGGAATCCTGAAATATTCGCGTTACAGATGAGTTCATCAAACACTGAATCCATTTTTAGAAAATTGGTCTAGCGTTCCTCCCGGGGAAACCCAAGATCTTGCTGGCAAAAGCATATGAAACCCAGGCTCTGCCATGAGTGACTCTCAAACTCCAAACTCTTGGCCTTGTACCTTCTCCATGTATGTGGATACCTTAGGGTGGACAGTGCTGGGCTTCCTGGAGGTTTGGGGGGTGGGACCTGAGGAGGGTGGGATCCAAGGAGGGCAGGAACCTCAGTGGGGTATAATGCCATAGATTCCACCGTCTGAAGTAGCCATTTTCCCCCAGGGAACTGATTTCTGCTGTCTAGAGAGCAGATGTAATTCCAGATCTCACTGGCAGTCTTTAAGTATCAGCTAAGTTGCCATGGAGGTTGGGGAGGTCAGTTGTACTCTAATCGCTGTTGCATTCCTTCTGTGCTTCTTCGCTGCTGTAACGCTTATCTCTAAGCTGTGCAGGTGGTGGGATGTTGATGTCTAGTTTCAAGGGAGCCGTGGGAGCAGGCTTGGTTCCAAGCATTCGTCAGGGGTGCTCTAGGCCAGGGGTGGCCAAACTGTGGCTCGGGAGCCACATGCGGCTCTTTCACACAGATTGTGTGGCTCCCGGCAGGGCAGCTGGGGAAGCGAAGGGGAGGCGTGCCTCCCCGATCGGTCTTCCCTTCCCCAGTTAATGTTCCCCTTCCTGGGTAGGCTTGAGGTGGTGGTGGGGGAGCAGAAAGAAAGCAACTTTCACTTTAAATTTAAATGCGTTCTCAAAGCCCCCTCCCAGGCCTACAAATATCATTGGACAAATAAATATAATTCTCAATATCTGTTTTTACCCCCTTTTGTTTTTATTTCTGGCAGTCTCGTTTAATGTTAATAAAAAGCAAATTTGCATATTTCCCGATAAAAAGTGTGCGATATTTGTCCATGTCACGCGGCTCTCAAACATCTGACGTTTATTCTGTGTGGCTCTTAGATTAAGCAAGTCTGGCCACCCCAGCTCTAGGCTGACCCTGCATTGAGCAGGGGGTTGGACTAGATGGCCTTTAGGGACCCTTTCTACTCTGTGATTCTATGATTCTGTGATCTCCAGGCCTCACTTGGAGGCTGGCAACCCTACTTTTTTATCCCCCTGGGTTGCCCTGCCCTGGCTCAGAGTCTGCGAGTCGGAAGAATGCTGACTGCTCCCTGATACGTACGTAGTGGAGAGAGGCAAACCCGTCATTCTCAGTACCAGGGCTATTTTTGGGCAGGAACGCACAGGAACGGAGTTCCGGCTGGCTCCCGAGTTGGCCACGCCCAGCAGGAACTCATTAGCATAACAGGCCACACCCAACAGCAGAAACTCATTAGGATTGGCTACATTAGGGGTTTGTGGCCTAACATGCAAAGGAGTCCCTGCTACAAAAAAAGCCCTCCGTTTTGACAACAAACAAGGTAAACAGAATAAGAAGCAAAAGGTGGGTGTGGCTGGATGACCAGACTTCTGGTAACATGGGGGTGTGGCCTGATGTGCTAATGAGCTGTGCTGTCAGGGGTGTAGCCTAATATGCTAATGAGTTTATGCTGTTGGGTGTGGCCTATTATGCTAATGAGTTTCTGCTGGGTTTTTTCTACAAAAAGAGCCCTGCTCAGTAGGATCTCCCTGCGGGTCTTGTACTACCCCTTGTCCCAGGGTTTAAACAGCAGTGCAGTCAATTAACGTTCAGTCAGATGAGAAGGAAAAGTAAACGTAATAGTTTATTGCCAAACAAACACAATATTTTGCTAGCTTCCCTGAATGCTTTCTGAGACCTACTGCCTGCAGCTCTTCCTTCCAGTTTGGTGTCGTGGTTAAGAGCAGCGGACTCTGATCTGGAGGAACTGGGTTTGATTCCCCACTCCTCCACATGCAGCTGCTGGTATGACCTTGGGTCAGTCACAAGTCTTCTCTCAGAGCTGTTCTCTCAAGAGCAGTCCTCGAAAGACCTCGCTCAGCCCCACCTACCTCACAGGGTGTCTGTTGTGGGGAGGGGAAAAGAGATTGTAAGCTGCTCTGAGACTCCTCCAGGTAGTGAAGGGTGGGTGTATACATCCAATCTCTTCTCATCTTCTACCCAGCAGGGATCCTCTGTAAGCTCCCATCTTCTATGTGTTGCTATAAGGATGTGTCTCTAAAGTACAATAGTTTCCACGAGTGGGAAGCCTTTCTTTGCAAAGCGGTGCTTAACATTGACTGTACTTTTACTTCTCACCCTGCCCATGCTCAGCCTGGCCTGCGTGAGTCAGCCTACCAAGGCAGACTGGCAAAAGCATGAAGCTTGGACTGCCTGCCTCGTAGCAATGCATCACCTAGGCCGCTTGCTTAAAAAAGACAGGAGTATGAAAGAGAAGGTAGAAGCTTTGGGCCCCAGTTTGGTTCAAGAGGCAGCAAAAAAAAACCCGACCCACTTGGTCTCAAAAGGCAGCTGTGGACCAGGAGGAGGTGGGGTTGATGCACCAAGCCAGCCATGGAAGAGGCTGGAATGCCGTCAGCCCCCCCCCCTCCATTGGCTGCAGTGGTGTCACATGACATAAGGGAATGCAGGTGCCCATCTCTTCCTTCCTCCCTATGGCTGAGGGCAAAAGTATCCCCCTCCTAACACTGAGCTCAGACAGGGGCTGGGTTTGGTTTCTTAAGGACCCAGATGTCACAGGCTGGTGCAGCACTGGCCTTTCCCTCTGTTGTTTCACGAAACCCTCAGTGGAACAGAAATTCCCCTCTGCATTGCCTGCTGCTTTCACTTCCCTGGATCTAGAACAGAAATCCCCCTCTGCATTGCATGCTGCTTTCACTTCCCTGGATCTTCGGATTTTATGGTACTTTCCACACCCCATGCCTTTTATTTTACCTTCTGCATAGATTTATGGCCATTTTACGGCCATTCAGGGGTGAATTTGCAGTCAGTATGGTGTTGCCCTGGGGTGTTTGAATGTGGTTTTGAGCTGCACTTTCCCCTCCCAGTTGAGAAACTGTGGAGCGAGTGCTAGATGCAGAATCGTCCACAGTTACCGTTCCTTTCCGTGCCTCGGTCTTCACGGCCTTTCTACTGGGATAAGAACCTCCCTCTGGCGTCACCTCTGTCCTGGCACATACAGCCACAGGGCCAGACTACAGAGAGCAGTTCTCGCTGAGGAAATGGCTGCTTCGGAGTATGGACAAAATGGCATTGTGCACACTTAGGTCCCTCCCCTCGAAACCCCGCTCCTCACCCAAATCTCCAGGAATTTCTCAACCAAGAGTTGGCAAACCTAGACAAGCCTCTTGTGTCATTGCCAGAATACTGTTTGGGGTCCCTCTGACCAGACAGCCCCTTACTCTTCCCATGCTTAATAAAATGGAGTCCCTTTTTCCTTTTTCGGGGGGGGGGGGAACGGCTAGGATTGGGCTATCACACACGGCTCGGTTTTACATGTGCTTTTTGGTAGAAGGGAGCAGCGGCGCTCCCCTTTTAGAAGCGCTTGAACGATGGGTTGACTAACTGGAGTGATGCCAGCGTGGCACTTCAAAGATACCGCAGTTAATCACACCCTTGTCATTAACGAGCGGTTCTGTCATAGAACAGCTTCTGCTTACTGCAATTTAGAAAACAACAGAATGCGCTTCCGTCCGCTTTGTGAGGGATTCCATCTGCTGTACACAGAGCTTGAATCTCTGGCGATCTGTATGAGCCAGCTTCCTAAAGAACGTTGTCAGTGTTGTCACCGATAGCAGTGGGGAATTCACTAATGAGAGCTGCTTTTGCCTGGGTAAAAGTGAGTGGCTGTCAGGCACGGAGGTGAGTGGCGTGTTGGAGGAGGAGAAGGAGATGGGATTTATACCCCGCCTTTCACTACCCAAAGGTGTCTCAGAGCGGCTTACAAACTCCTTTCCTTTCCCCTCCCCACAGCAGCCACCCTGTGAGGGAGGTGGGGCTGAGAGAGCTCTGACAGAACGGCTCTCTTTTAAGGTGTAGTGTATCAAGTCCGGACATGTCCAGACTTGTCCAGAGACAAACCTCAAGCTTCGCTCCTAGAGACAATGGACCAGGTGGATCCTAGCCCGCCCCAATCAGAGGGCTAGGTTCCTGGCCGAGAAGCCAATGGGACTCTCGGCCACTGTAAATAACCTATCGGGAAGTGGGGGTGTGTTTTGGGTGGTGGGTTCTGAGGGGATATAAGCCGGCCTGCGAGCCGGCCAAAGTTGTCTTGTTCCTGATTGAATAAAGTACGCTTTGCTGAAATTACTCTCTGTCTGCGTACTTTTCATAAGGACAGCTCTGACAGGACTACGGCTTGCCCAAGGTCATCCAGCCAGGTGCAAGTGGAGGAGTGGGGAATCAAACCCGTTTCTCCCAGATTAGAATCCACGCACTTAACCACTACACCAAACTGTTGGGCGGGGTAGAAGAGTTAAGTATCAACACGCATGAAGCTGCCTTATACCGAATCAGGCCATTGGTCCATCAAGGTTGGTCTTGTCCACCCGGACGGGCACTTTCACATCACCTTCTACCGGATTCTTTTGACTGGAGGTGGCAGGGACTGAACCTGGGACATCCTGCGTGCCAAGCAGGTGCTCTGCATGCCTTTATGGACCATTGGTCTGATTCAGTATAAGGCAGCTTCATGTGAATCGTACTCAGGCAGTTGCAAGTGGGCTGCTGATGTGGTGAGTTTTGCCAGGAGAAGGGCAGCACAAGGATGCTCGGGATGCCATCCGAGGATTGTGCCGGGGAGCCCCCGCCCCCAAGACACACCCCCATGCATGCTCGGCTCGCAAAAAGGCCCTTTAAAGGGGGGAATCAGCCCACGACTGCCCCCTCCCTCCCTCCCTCCCTCCC